TTCTTTGCTCTCTCCCTTTTCTTTTTTCTTTCTTTCCTATCATCTTCAAATCTCTAAAAGTACAAAACAAAACAAAACAACATCAATTCTTTCTGTACAACTTTCGCAAATTGATCTTTGCTAACTATCAAAAAATAACTAAGAACAATACTAGAATATTATGTAAACTTGCAAGTTACAAAAACTCCAACGTCGAATCATATACCATATCAGGGGTTCCAATTTCATGAGCAAGCTGGAAGCAATGAAAAACTTGTTGCTTTAAACCTATATGTACATATATGTTATTCCCCCAAGAAATTGAAGAATGAAACTAGATCACCAAGCAAGAACATATGCAACTAGATGTGCATATTCTTCATGTCCAAAGGCATTGGCGGTTGTGTGATCCATCAATAAATAAATTAAAGCTGCCAGCAGTAGATGGACAATCGTAGATTAATGCTATAGATATCGATTTGGGAACATTACCAGATTTTATCTGTTTCCCTGCACGGTAGTTCGAAAAGCAGGAAGGGAACTGGGGAAGATAGCAAAGAATATGTAGACAGAAAGCACAAGTTCATTCAAAGGTTTGGACGACGCTCCACAGGGATTCGATTGTTAAGGACAAAGAGATGCTCAAATGGCTTACCAATTCTCATGATATCCTAATTTTAATTTCCTATATCAATAGTTTAGTTCTAGCAGCTAGCATAAATTAATTTGTATCTTGTGTGGGATAGCCTTATGCATTTGAGATGCACTCGTGAGAAATAACAAAAAATCTGGAAGGCATTGATATTGAGGTAAAGATGTCGGGTTGTACGTATTTGTGAAAAAGAGTTAAGGCATATTCTCAATTCTCATAAATGAGTGGCTGTAAATCAAGTTTCTTTTGTCAGAAGCGGCATGTATTGTGAATGCTTTGAACCTTTATCTTGAATTTGCATGCTAACTATTGCCAAGGCAAAAGAAGTTGGATAGTATATTGATGCCATCATACCATTCGCTGGAGATGTTGAATAAACTAAAATTCTTACATTTTTACCATCAAAAAACCAAAAAAAAAAAGGGGGAATGCTTTAATTTAAACAACTTAATAAGACTTTGTTGTTTTTTTCAAACAATGTAACGACATGCATTAAAGAACATGAACTACAATTATGGGCATTTATGCCTCTTTATATATATATATATATTTTTTTTCAAACTTTATCACCTCACATTTTATATTAATTAATACAAAAATTTGTGAATATTAGTTGTTGCTTATATTAGATGACATAACTAGTGCAAAAGTATTAATTGATAAAATTTGTATATTTTGTTGGGAAAAATCATAACTTAAATATTTTTATTAGTTATTACAATTTTTATTTTTATTTTGTAATTTTCAAAAATAAAATAAAAATATTATAATAGTAATTAATTTAATATTCTAATGTAAGAATCAAATTGGTCTCGCTCACCTTGATTAGTTTTCAATACATTTTTAATCACTACTTTTATATAGGTGTGGGTTTCGCAATTTATGGATGGATCTTACATTTGTTGTAGAACAATTTGAAAATATTATTGATTTTTTTTATAAAAATATTATTGAATTAAGATTTTCTAGTAGTAGTTAATACTTTTTATCAATAACTAATACTAAATTTGCACATCCATAAAAAACAATAAATTAGTATAGAAAAATAACTTAGTATAAATATTCATCAGATCAAAAACTAACTATTCTATTAAATTTTATTCTTTATTATCAATTTATAAATAGTTAAGTAGTTAAGATTTTTTTTATCACATAATTTGTTATAATTGAAGAACTCAAAACTAATAAATGATATCTTCTTGTTCATATACTCGTTTAATTAGTATATATTTAATAGGTTTGGTACATTTATTTTTTTAAAACTTTATTTGCTTCAGAAAGATGACGGAATAACCATTACCAACTCCCCATAGACAATGAGTATTTGGTGAGGCAAAGAATAGATTAAAAATATTAATCGACAAAAATATTTTTTAATAATTTTAAAAATTATCATATTATATATACATTTATATTCATTTTTCAAAATTTCATTCTTTTTCTACCCAATTGCCTCCCTCCTTTTTTCACTAAACTTCCTCGCAGAGGATTGCAAAGGGCGACGGGTGACAATAGCGATGTGCAGAATTGATGCCTCCACGACTGGACTAGGTTACAGGAAGCACTAATATAGCTCTTCCTTGCCAAATTGGGTTGTAGAAGTGTCGGATCTAGCGCTTCCAAAGTAGATCTAACTTTGAAAATGCCAGATCCGGTGCTTTTTGACCAAATTCAGTTGTAATCTAGTCATAGATACAACTGTGACAGTCCTCCGTCCATTTTTCAGTGATTTTTTTTTAATTGAAAAAAAAAATTAAAACTTTACTCTTTAGGTAAGAGGTCATTTACCAACTAATAAATCAAATGTTTAAGTGTAATCCTCCGTAATCGGTTGATGAGAAGAAAGAAAAGAAAATAAAAATTAAAAATTATAATAAAAGGTAATTTTATCATTTATCATTTGTTCTTTAACTATTCCTAAAATTATTTCTAACAACTAAATATTGGAATAATTCATAATAACAATATCTGTCTTATTCTATTCTTATGAACCAAACTGTATAATAGTTATTCATCTTTTATTTTATTTTTATGAAATATCTACTTCATTTCGCGATCCAAACACACCTGAGTGATTTAAAATATATAATATTACGTTATTATTTATAGACTTTTATACCTTTTCTTTTCTTTTTTGGGTTCTATGTTATTTCTTCTTGAATTCTTTTTGTCAATGACAAGTCTAGCAAGGTTTTAGGCATCAATCAAGCCCTCAGTATCGTTTTTAGATTTGGCACCAACCGGCTTAGATTTGTCTCGATAATTTCTAGGCAGATAAAAGAGTTTGAGAGAGCTCATATATACATTGGTATAGGATTTTGTGAAAATTAAGTATAGGATGCGGAAACTATAAACTGCCAAGCAAATCCAAATGAAGGTGTAAGGAAACGTGCCATGGATGACGACTCGCCGTTAATGCAAGCGCTTCTAAAAAGAGATTAATTAAGGACCCATACCTAAAGGTCCTGGTGTTCTGATTCTGCCAAGTCAAAATTTGTATTTTATTTTATTTATTGAAAAATGAGTTATTAACTTAGTATAGCTTGCATGTCATAGTAAGTCTTAATGTAAAAGACTTGTAGTAGCATATCAAATCAAGCTATGGAGCAAGAAAATTAAAGTGGTATATAGTAGCATATATATATGTACACTTTGTCTTAGTGTTTTCTAAATTACAATTTTAAATTTGTTATAATATTAATGTAAAAAATTAAAGTGGTATATAGAAAAAATTAAAAGTTGCGGGTGTTTCAAAAAGAAAGTAGACTATAATTTTTGAAATCTAAAAAAAATCGATTTGAAACAGAAAAAGAGTAATAATTAAATAAATAATATAAAATAGAAACAAATAATGAAAATATAATTTTTTAATAAAGAATTAAAGTTAATTGGTGTAAAAATTAAAAGAGACATGAGCATGAGTGAGTGCAAATAAGGGTAGGTATATCATTGAAAGGAAGTAATGTTCTAATAAAGAAACAATGAACATGATCAAATGTTAACGGTAATAAAGTGACATTCAACAAAGGTAGCTGTACATAGATAAAAAAGCCTTCACCCTCCTAATGATGGAAAAGCCCACAATTTTTCATTGTTTTCCTTTTGTTTCATCTGAGCAGTATTGTCCCCTTGCATCCCCTTCTTAATAAGTTGATGTATAAGAATTTTGAATCATATTAACGAGTGATCTCTTTTTATAACTTTCACTTTGTTCGTCTGGTCCAGAGATTGAAAGGACTTATAAAATGAAAACTCAAGCTCTAATTTCTGAAATGATGTGGTGCAGACTAGGCATCCAAGAATATAGGAGGAAGAGCAAGTTTGGGATAAGATTGGACTGTGCGTATGCACGCTGAATGCATACGGAAAAAAGTGTACAAATTTGGTTGTACCGTATAAAAGAAGTTTAGTTTAAATATTATTACAAATCATTAATTAGGGTAAGGGCAAGCCGTGACTTTAAAATGCTTTGTCCTGGCCTTGCCTAAAAATTGAATGGAGCTAATATCTTTCTTGGTCCAAGTTTGCCTAAATAAATTAAAATGAGTGTCTGAATCTTCCAATCTGATCTAAGCAAGAGGTTTGGTTGAGATCTCCGACCTTACCCTTGCGCATGTCTAGCCCTTGCCCGCCATGCGTCACCATTTACCACGCTACTTTACATCTTCATACCTTGTAGTGATACCAATTAATTAGGTCTATACAAAAAACATCGAACAAATTAATCCAATTACTGAAAACGAAACTTTAATTTGTAGCAAAACTATTTGTAACCAAGATTGAATTGATAAAGGGTTTTTTTTTTTTTTTGTGGTCGGGACAACTGCAACGACGGTGACTTCTCCTTTGTACATCTCTCTCTAGATCTCCATTTTAACTATCAAGAAAGATTCAGAAATGACTGAACTCAGGTTCATTCTAGTAGTCCAGTAGTAGTTAGTTTCGAGCCACGGAGGCATGGGTTACAGTTCACATTGCTTTCTCCACTTGACTAGCTTAGTGCCTTAGGCTATCACCATCACAAATACCTAGGCTCAAAATATGCATGCAAGGTTGTTTGCCAAGGAGAAATCTAACACTGGGAAATGGGGACCTAGGGTCAAGTGGGGTGGCGGTGTGGGAATGGTTAACAGCATCCATCCAGAGCCATATTGCACTCAAATGGGTCAGCTCAGCTAGACAAACCACTTTTTCGACGCCTTTTGTCTTCATGAAGTTTCTTTGTACTTTACCGTACAAAAATAAAAAGGTCAGCAATATTTATGACTTGGAATTGAAATAATATACTTTACTGACCACTGCTAGATGCTTTGTTTCCTTATAAATAGAGGCTCACGTGTCGCCTCTCTAAAGGCGTATTCTTCTTGGCAATCTCTTTATAGTCTCTAGTCGTTCCTCTCGGTTCAGGCAAGCTTTTTTAGTCTTGGATCATCTCTGTGTCTCTCTAAGCCAATTACCAATGGATTTAGAGTCTGCAAGTCGAGAAAAACAAGGGCTGTTTTCTCGTGGATGGTCAAGGATGAAAGCCTTGCCTAAAAATATAACCGCTAAGATATTTGAGTTTTATAGCAAGGTCAAAAAGCTTGCCCAAGATGATCCAAGAAGAGTTGTTCATTCACTGAAAGTGGGACTCGCACTCAACTTGGTCTCATTATTATATTACTATAAGCCACTGTACGATGGCTTTGGGGTTTCTGCAATTTGGGCTGTAATGACTGTCGTAGTCGTCTCTGAATTTTCAGTGGGTGAGTTTTGTCAGCCTGAGCTCTGCCAGCTCAAAATCAAACAAAGCTGAGAATTACAGACATAGTTTTCTTTTTTCCTTTTTTAACTAAGATAAATTAAATTTCACCAGGGGCCACTCTCGGGAAAGGTTTGAACAGAGGATTGGCAACTTTGAGTGGTGGTGCTCTCGCTGTTGGTGCATATCATCTGGCTAACCTATCAGGACGGATAGGTGAGCCCATACTACTTGGGTTCTTTGTCTTCCTCCAAGGTAAAGTCACAGTACTTGGCTGAAAAAATAAATGCGCGCCAAAAATTCTCTTTTCCTACTCTCCATCAGGCGGATTCAAATGCATATAAATCTCTGTTTGCAGCTGCGGTATCTACGTTCGCAAGATTCTATCCCAAAATCAAGGCAAGATATGATTATGGGCTGTTGATATTTATTTTGACATTCGCTTTCATATCTGTGTCCGGTTTCCGAGACAATGAAATATTCGAAATGGCTTACAAGAGATTATCCACCGTCCTCATAGGTGGCTCTACCTGTGTCATGATTTCCATTTTGGTTTTCCCTGTCTGGGCTGGTGAAGACCTCCACAACTTAATTGCTTCCAACCTGGAAAAGGTTGGTTGCTTCCTAGACGGTACGTCTCCTCTCCCCTCCACTAATTGAAAGCAATTTACTAAGTATTACTCCATATTAGTAGTATTTTCCTTTAACCAACACTGAGGAGAGAAATGTTGACAGGGTTTGGAGATGAATACTTTAAAATGCCAGGGGATGGAGAGTCCAAAGATGATAAATCCTTCTTACAGGGCTATAAAAGTGTTCTTAATTCAAAAAGTAACGAAGATGCCTTGGTGGGTGAAAAAGCTTTAGCTCTCTTTCTATCCCTCATTAGAGTTGTCATCTTGTTGTGGTTTCTGATATTTACTTTGCTTCTTTTTCATAGGCTAATTTTGCCAAATGGGAGCCGGGGCATGGTCGATTTCAATTTCGGCATCCATGGAAACAGTACCTGAAGATTGCAGCTCTGACACGCCAGTGTGCATATCGAATTGAATCTCTTCATGGACAGCTGAATGCTGACATTCAAGTATTATCTAAATCTCCGCGTCTCAACTTTCTTGAATAAATACATTGAGGACTAGGCTATTCTAATTTTTAAGAACCAACAAAAAAAAAAAAAAACTAAAAACCGAAAGATTGTAAAGTTGATTATATGTGTTTTTCCTGTTGGGGTCAAACACGACGTTTTGTTAATTAGCCATATTGGGGCTGAATATTTATACAAAATGGGTCGGTCGATTAGTAAACAAATAATAAAATATTTCTATTAATTAGTAAATTCATGTACCTAGCCACATATTTTCTTTTAACTTATCACCTTCTGCTTTTTTTGGCAGGCAAAACCAGAAATCCGAAGTAAAATCCGAGGGACATGCACAAAAATGAGCTCGGAATCTGGTAAAGCATTGAAAGAACTAGCATCGGCAATGAAACGAATGGTGAAGCCAATTTCCGCAGATATCCATATTGAAAACTCAAAATCTGCTGCCAAGAACCTCAACTCTATACTCAAATCAGGCCCATGGGATGATGACATGGACCTCTTGGAAGTCGTACCGGTGGCTACAGTAGCTTCTTTATTAATCGAAGTGGTCAGCTGCATGGAGGAAATTGCTGAATCTGTTAATGAACTTGCATCAATGGCAAAATTTGAAGGCATTAAGCCATATGTCTCACCAGAAAAACCAGAGACAGGACAAGTTGGAGTTGTGAAATCTTCCAATATTGAGGCTAATTGCTCTAGCGTTATCATTACAATTGGTGATCCAATTCGAGAAAATGGGAATTCTTCTGTAACAATGAATAATGGTAGACCGACGATTACTGAGGTGTAAATATTGTATATAGATATATTCCTAACCCAACCGTGCGGTGTCCAAACTAAGTTACTATAAAGTTTTTGTATCGTGAAATCAGTTTAACCACAATGAGCAATTACTTCTTGATATCGAGCTCGTGTGGTCAATTTTCTTTGGCTTTGTAATTTACTTGAGTTGTTAATTACAATAATAACTAAATGCTTTTCAGTTTTGTGGTCTTATTTCTTTCTTATAAGTTTATTTAGTTATATCCCTTTGTACTATGGGCTAAGCTTGGAATCCTAGAATCTGTATAGGCAGTCGTAAATTGGCACTTGTTCTTATTCACCGGTCATCAGATCACTACATTATAGCTTTTAATATAAAGGATCATTATTAAGCACGTTTTCCTATCATAAATTAGTTTTAAAAATTATGATCAATAAGTCATTAAAAATTACTATATAGATATTTACATAAAAATTTTGTTTAATAATAAAAACTTATAAAAAGTCTGATCTCATTTAAGTTGACATAATAATTTTTAATGATAAATAATTGATAGATGTAGTAAACAGGGTGTAACCAATAATCTCTCCTTATGAGATAGTTGCAATTTTTTTTTTGTCCAAATTAGAAAGTAACAAAAGGAGATATCAGTTTTGTTTAGCCGGAAAAGGAGGTAGCTTATTAATTGTTACCGGAAACTTGGGAATGGACTCTTGATTCACATTACCAATTAAAAAGAAGTAGAACATTTTATAGAGTCCTTTATTTGAGTTTGATGGTTATAGATATATGTATATATATATATATATATATATATATATTCAGAATTTGGGATTGAATATCCTTGATTACTAATTAAAGTAGGCCAAGCAGTTAAAACTCTCAAATTTTTACACTAAGTTCCACAATAATTAATGAGTTGCAGCCAGTTGGTAACCTCGAAGTTGTTATTTCAATATTACAGAATAGCTATTGAATTCAAGTATTAAGTCCTTACGAATTTAACAATCGCATTTTATTGACCAGGTAAATTTTCAGTTTGTTTAATACTGCCAGTCATTGCCTCCGCTTAGTGGGTTTCGAAGATTTTAGGTGTGAAACGGGGAGCTAGACAACAAGGAGAAAAACACAAAGGGTACTCTGTCTTTGGCTTTCTTTCATGAATCTGCCCTACACTTTTCAATATTGATTCTAGTAAAAATTTCATACTCAACGACGCTAGGAGAGACACAATAATCTCAACTAAATCTTTTACCTTTCCAAACCTGACCGTTGATTTAAGCAACTTGTTGATCAACGCTAAATATTTTCAAGTCAATTCCTCACTGATTAGAAAAAATCAAGAAATTCAAGCGAATCATAATTGACCCTAAACCCACATTAGATAAACCAATTCTGCATGCTCCTTTACCATATATCTATATATATATATTAATTATAGTAATGAGTATAGCACATGTTCTAGTTATTCCATCAAGTGATCTGTCTCATTCTTTTCACTTTTATATTGTTGAGGTAGGAAGGTGGAAGCGGCTATCTAAGTGGGCTGACAAAAGTTGTAACTTGAGTCCCATTAACTTAAAAGTACCATTTGTACGGTAGCACTGAGCGATAAGCACACCGAAATTGAATTCTGTGAACATTTATGGTCCGTAGAACTCATAAATAAGATTAACTTAACAGTTAAGGTTCACTTTTGAATGATATTTCCTCTAATGAATAAGAAAGAAAAACTGGATCATATGTATACATATTTTGAACGGAGTAATTTTTATTTTGTTTGATTTTTTTTATGAATACTCTCGAATATTTTTGAATGTATGTTTTTATTATGCTATCAGATGTTTTGATGAATATAAGTTGGCGGTTTGAATAAGTACTTTCCTCATGCAAAGAGAGAACTCTAAAAATAATATCAAACGTTATGTCAATAAATGGATTAATATGCACAAAAAGTTGTCATTTTACTCATTTTAATGGGTTTAGCAAAGTACAAAAGACAAAGACATTTCTGAACTAAGTTTCAAGGTGGGGGTCAGAGTTCACACTAACCACACAAAAAAGAACATGAAGAAGTGGTGAACAGAGAAAGTAGCGAGGCAATTAGAGACAAAGAGGTGCGGTTTGAGTTGTTTTCCACTAGGGATAATTTTTTTTTTTCCTGCTTCTGCGTAAAAGAAAAGAAGGAAAATCACACCTTTTTGTTTGGTAATGAAGGGAGGAGAAATTTGCTCCAACTTTTCTTCTGATTTGTGAAATGATATATCACTTTCTTTATAAATACAACACTACACTTATCACGGTTGTACCTACATATCACAGCCTTATTTAGGTTTTGACCTTTCGTACTTTAAAAGAAAAATTTACAAAGTTTTGGGCACTATCAAGAGTCAAAGACAACTTTGCTACTTTTCTATGTTTGCTTCCAAAGCAATAACTAAAATAAAATTGGAAGCACTTTTAAATCAAGGGTTAGCACGTCAAGTGAAGATTTTATAATATTCCTTCTATCAATCTTAACTTTCGTATGTTTTAAACATTTACAGATTGCAAGACACAAAAAGGTGGAGTCGGCAAACACTTGTTGCATCATTTTTCTTCTTTCCGCATAGTTGAAAAAATAGAAACCATCCATATCCGAACCAAATAATTAACGACAAATGTTTAATTGCTAGTCTTTTTGTTTTACTTTTGTCTCCGTTCATTGAATTTTGAAAAAGAAATTATCTGAGCGTGAAAAAACATAAAAAGCATCCCATTTATTTAAAATGTTAATAAGCAGCAACATCGCAAACTTAAAGCATCTTTTTCTTTCTCCGCTCAATCAACTGAATTTTATTTTGTATCGAAAGATACAAGCTGAACCCAGTAATGCACCAGTGTGGTAGCAGAGATATAATCTACCCACCTGAACAGCATCAAATACACCTGTAAACTTAAAGCATCTTCTGAGTTCTATTGCATTAAATGGATCAATGGGCAAAATGAAAACATTCCTAACGTCTATGCATTTTTTTGAGATGCAAAGATATACATATAGGTGAATATGAATATATATATATATATATATATATATATACACACACACACACATAAAAGTTTAAGGCAGTAGAAATGCAATATTTTAGAGTATTTAAGAAAAGTATTACTACTTAAGACATAAGGTATATGTATCTATTATGGCCTCACATTTTTAATTCAAAAAATATTTCTATTCGGTGGAGAAAGTCTTTTATTTATAAACTCAAGATCCATCTTATTTGTTAGTGATGTGCGATTCGTAATATATTCTATCCCACCAATTGTACAACACCTGGCTTATCCACCTATAAAGGAGAGGGATCCACTTTGGTTTGAGCTTACCTCAATCCTAGTATCTCTCATGAGGGATTCCATGTCATTGAAGAGTTGGGTAGAATTTAATATCACTTGTCATGAGCTCACATTTTCAATATAAAAGACATATCTATCAAGTGGAGGAAACCACTTACTTATAAGCCCAAAGCGCAACCCATCTCTTACTAATGTGAAAGCCGTGACATATCAATATTGTTAGATATTTGCTCATTTAGGAATCCATTTGAATTTTGGTGAAATTTTATTGGTTGACAATTACTTGTTGGTTAAGTTTATGTTTAAAGGATAGATTTACTTAATAGGTAAGAGTTCTTAATATGTAAGAATTTTTGGTGACCATGTAATTGGATTCTATAAATATGTACTAGGATTTAGACATTAGAATTATGAGAGATGTAATTTCTATGTGGTCTCTCTGTGAGAGGTAAGTTTCTAGTTGTAGGGATCACTACAAAAAAGCAGTGTTTTAGTGACGAAAATATTTCCATAGGTAATTATTGACAAAATACTAATGGATTTGTCTATTAACTTTCACCGATAGAATATTGAAAAAATACTAATGAAATATAACGACAGAAAGGACTCTGTCGGTATTCTGTCAACAAGCTTATGGCACGAAACGAATAAAAGATGTGCGAAGTTTACCAACCACAAAATTCCGTTGGTAAAGAAGTTACCAATGGAATTTACCAACTAATGTTGCTGACAGAAGCACCAGTTGGCAAAGATATTCAATTGCCGACGGAATTATCAATGGAATTTTAGTCAATGATGGCTTTAAACATGTGGGATATGTTAGCCATGGATTTACTGATGGCATTTCTTTTGGTAGTTTCAATGTATACATACTGACGGAATTTCCATCAGTATTGTTATTTTAAGTTATCGACAAAAATTTTCATTTGGAAATCTATCAATAGTTTAAATACTAAATCTACTTGGGCTTCCCCCCACTTTCCCTTTTACCTTTTCTCTTAATTCCACTCCTTTTGCACTCTTTTCTCTTTTTGCCCCTTTGCATTATAGTTTCCCTTGCCCAGTTGTCCCTGATCGACCATTTTCCTATTCAACTAAAGAGTCCTCGACACCTGCTACCTCCAACCCAGCCCCCGCTTATGGCCCGTTTTGCTTGTCTTGTTTAACAAACCATTTCCCCTTTCTAGTTTGACGATCTCTCTTTGCTCGTTTGATCGACCATCTCTCCTCTTCCATATAGCCCTCAATCCTCTGACAACCTAGGTAAGGTTGTTGGTTGGTGATGTAAACCCTAAATCTTTGTTTTTTTTTCTTTTGAATTTCATCTTAGAATTTGAATTTCATCCTAAATTTTGTTCCTGGTTTTATGCCTAATTTCGTTTGTTCATGATGTGTTGAATATTGTTCCATGGTTGCAAAGTTTGTTGAATATTGAATATTGGTTTTGTTCTGTAGATTGTTTAGTTGGATATTGTTTTGTAGATTGTTTAGTTTGGTATTGTTATGTAGATTGGCTTGAATGAATTGAATATATATTGCTAAAAAAATGTGTTGATTGTTTGAAGTGTTGTTGATTGAATAAATTGCTATATTTGCTATTGTTTCGCACTTACCCAATTGCATTAATGAATAATGTAAATATTTAATGTATTTTATGTTTAGTCATATAATGCAAATACTAAATAAGATACTTAATGTAAGTTTGAAGTGTTTAGGGAATTTTTTTAGGCTATGTTTATCATGTCATGTTTGCAATAGAGTTTAGTATGTAATTAA